ATCAGGCTGTAACAGCTTGCCTTTGTGTGAGGAAATGCTCCCTGTCTCTTGCCATTAGAGAAACATCTGTCTCCTTTTTGTGTGGGTGTATGCTGTCAGTTGTGTATTGCTCTAGAAGCTCAGTAGTTTTGAGTGTGTTTTCATTTATTCAGTGAATATGACCCTTAAAGTAATTGTGCATAGCTGTGGCTTTGGAAAGCTGGCTGTTCCTAACCCATTTTGTCACAGGATCGTAATTAAAATCTACCTGTAGGTTGCTATCTGAATTGCATTAATTGTTTTCCTGTGTTAACTGGGTAACTGTTTTCTAAAGTAAAAAGGAGGGAGAGTGTGTATGTGTTCATGCTTGTGTAGAAACCAGTTAATGCAATGCATGGGATTTCTGAGAAATAAAATGCTAGGAAATGCAAACATTACCAAGTATCCATAATGCTTGGTAGTTTTACTGTCGAAGAAATGAAATGCACAGCTCATCCAGTGATAAATGTGTTGAAATATTCATATATTCCTTTAAAAAGGACCAAAAGACTTATTGTGGATGTGATACGAACACAGCCAGGGGATACACTCTTAGAAATCTTAGAAACACCAGCAACTGCACAACAGGTAAGTGTTACACTATATCCGAGTAGAGAAGAAAATACTATTTTACTTACTATAGCTGCATTTTTGAAAGCCTTAATGGATTTCTGACTTTATCCTTCATTATCTAATCTATATAATAAAATTGTTCTTGATGTGTTTAAAATTACTTGGCTTTAGATCCAATAAAACCTGCACATTTTCAGCATATAATTAGTAACAGTTCTATAAAACTTGTTAAGTCCTTCTCAACTAATTTCAGAGACAGAAAGCATAATCTTTGTAATTATTTTCATTCAATGTTATTCATAAAACTTTGCTCATATAGCCAACTAAATGTCAAGTGTTTTTTCTACAAACACCTGGAAGAATAAATTTGTTAAATTATTTACAAACAATATAAAGAGGTTCATTGCTTTCCTATGTTATAATATGACCAAAATCCTAGCATGCATTTCTTTCTCATGAATTTCAGTATCTTGACTCAAATTCTCTATCACTTAGTTTGCTTATATTGCTTAAGTAAATAAACTACTTGGGGAGCAGCCGCTTTCCTTAGTATGGGAATGGAGTGGGAGCAGCTCCTAGCTGATGACTTCCCTTTTAGACATTAACACACAAAGCTATGTCTCAATGCCGTGCACACTTCAGGTTACCTCAGCACATGCCTTCGTATGTAGAGGGCACACATGAGACTTGGACAATATCCCCACAACTAAGGTCATTAAGTCTTCTGGCTGATTTCAGTCCAATCTTTTGGATTAATTCAGTGCAGGTCTAGGTATTGTAAGTAAGTAGTTACTTATGTCAAAAAAATTGCAAACTGAGTCCTTCTAAATCATATGTTGTGAAGATATAAATAAAGCTTACACCTTTTTTGCTTGGTTGTCTCCTTTGATTATCCAATGTACCTGGATACTCAGTTATTGTGAGCTGCAAAGTAAATTAAGTTTTGGCTTTTTTTTTAACCCAGGAATCTGAGCACTTGAAAATTGTAGAAAAACGTGCTATCTTAGATTCCAAAACTCCAGAGAAAATGAAGCACAGTCAGTCTATTTTTGAAGATGGGCAGCTACCAATAGAACAGAAGAAAAGGAAAATTCAGAGAAATCTCCGGACTTTGGAACAAGCAGGACTAGTATCTTCAGCAACTAAATATCAAGAAATTATCAATGAGATTGCTAAGGTAAATGGAACAAGTTCCTAGAATATGATGGATTTTTAACAATCTAACCTAAAGCTATTCTAGCTAGAGGTGTATGGTATTCATTTTTCTATAGAGCACTACGCTAAATTGTTACCACTCAAATCATTTTAGAGATTGACAGTGAAGTAAATGAAGGTCCTGTAATGCATAACCTGGTAATCATTATATTCAAACCAAGCTTTAGCTTGGTGTTTACCAATTCTGAAGAAATCTGAGCTCAATGTCCTCAGTATGTGTCATGCCTCAAGGACCAGAGCTGAGTTTGATGCCTGATGGGATCCACTTGGTTCTACTCATTCACTGTCCCTGTGGTTAGGTGGTAGAAGTGAGGCCGGTGTTGGACCAGTGCAGGCCTTGGTGTGGACACCATGAGGTCAACTTTGCAGCTGTGAACTCCAGCAGCTGACTTGGATCTTGGGGTGTTTGGTGGCAGCAGTCTGTTTGGGAGAGCGCCTGCTCATAGTGGGTAGAGTTTGTTGTCAGCAGTGTTTGGAATGATCCACAGTGTGCTTTAAACAAAATTTAGCAGCATGACTTCCCTGAAATTGGCAGGGCAGTGGAAGAATTGCACAAAACAGCAGGGAATTGCTCAGGGTCCATGACAGACAAAACAAGCAGCAACATGATTGAACATGTGAACTGTAGTACCCACAGCTGGTACTGTTTGTGAGAACTAATGTAATGTGGTTCATGCTTTCTTCACGTTAGTCAAATTGTATAAGTATAGATTTGAAAACTGATAAACTGAGAATATTTAAAATAATAATCCAGTTTTATTCATCAATTTCCATCTTCTATTTAGGATATCCGAAATCAAAGGAGATACAGACATCATCGAAAAGCTGAACTGGTGAAACTTCAGCAGACTCTGAATGCACTTAACTCCAAGACAGCATTTTATGAGGAACAAATTAATTATTACAACACCTATATAAAAACTTGTTTAGACAACTTAACAAGAAAGTGAGTTGAGTCTTCTTGCCTTTTAATATTTTGGAAGTTTTGAGGCTGTGCTTTTTTTTTAGCAGAAAGAGCAGGTGCTATCTGTAGCTGAAGGTAAACTGGCATCAGAATATTCAAGTACTGTAGAGTTATCACTGTAAGCTGTACTGACTGAAAAATTACCATGCATTTCTTTAAAGCTGCCTTAGAGGCCTGATATATGTATGCTTTTGTTGTATCTACTTTGTGCTGCTCCATAACTGTACTAGCATGCTTTGAAGTCATGTGCAGCTTTGGAAAGTCATTATTGACTTTTTTCTTCCTTCCTTCAAATGATTTGTATCTGCCATTAAAATAGAAAGGTAGGAAATAAACATGACTAAAGCATTTTTACTTTTCAGGTATGATACATATGATATTCTTGATCAAGCTCATTAAAGTATGAAAACATCTATAATGTTATCAGGGGCTTTCTCAATTAATACTTCATTAATTGAAAAGCAAACATCAATGGCCAATCTGGTTGTACATCTGTATCATTTATTGAATTGCTTACATATTGCTACTTAAAAGTCGTAATTGTTTTCTCAGGCTTGGCTTGCTTTTTACAATAGAATTTACTAACAGATGTTGAAAAATATTAGATGTGTTTAGATTGTGTGCTAAACTTCTGATTCTCAGATTTGTTTTGAATGCTAATTCTGTTTTATTAAAAGCAGTTGCAGAAGAAGGCAAAGTCTGAAGGAAAACTAGATATGGCTAGCAGAATACTTAAAAGTATAAAGGACAAAACTGCATTCCTGGGGGATTAATTGCAAGCTCTTTTTCTCATTCTTCTCTTTCCAGAAATTCTCGGAGGTCAATTAAACTGGATGGAAAAGATGAGGTGAAAGGAAGCAAAAAAATGAAGCAGGCATCATTAAAGTACACAGCTGCAAGACTGCATGAGAAAGGTGTCATTTTAGAAATTGAAGATCTTCAAACCAACCAGTAAGTGTGGCATAAAACAATTCAGAGCCTTTTGTAGTTGACAGCTTCTTAAGAAACCGGATTTTGTTTCGAGGTCTGTGTGGTGTCACGTTATGGCAAAAGCACAGGTCTGATTGAGCGGCTTCCTGCACATGCCGGGCAGTTCTTGCCATGAGCTGTTATCTTCCCTGCTCTTTTGTTCTAGGCAGCAAGTTTGGTTTTAAGGGTTGCTTACTCTGCAAGTAGGTGGCTTTTGCAGATTTATTTCTAAGCTGCATCACTTTTAGTGTGGTGTCTCAAAGATGGCTAGCACAGCTCAAGTATCAGCAAGGGTGCTGATGTGTGAAAGTGGTGACGTTGCAGGTGTTACTTTTTAAGTTTGTATTTCTGCCAGTTATTTCATGTTGCATATTTGAGGTCCAGGGCGGTTATAGACCAAGTATTCTATGGTCCGTCATGCCTAGTGTTGGGAGAGATGCAACTGTGCCCCCATAACATATAATGTGCTACAGTAAATAGTGATATTTATTGGTGAAAGTTCCTTTATCTTTTGCAAGACAAAAATACTCTCCATAACTGTCACCAAACTGTGCTACACTGCATGATATATGACACTGTATGGTGTACATACCACTCTCCTTTTTTCCAAGGTTTAAGAATGTTATGTTTGATATCACACCTGGAGAAGAAGTAGGAGACTTTGAAATCAAAGCAAAATTTCTGGGAGTCGAGATGGAAAAAGTGCAACTCCATTTCCAGGTATAGTTTTAATTTTGCTACTGTGTTCTAAAGCAGATCACGTGGGGAATAACTATGTAATTTTGGTAGGATGATCCTGGACTTAGCCTTAAGTTAATGTTTATAACAGTAGTTGTACTATAGTAGTTATGGCAGTTGTCAAGCCGCAGCAAATGCCAGGTTAGTTTAATGGCTAGCAGCAAAAATGCCATGGGAAAACTAAAATGCATGCAGGGAATCTTTCTCCTGGTGCGCTGTTATTGACAGCCTGCAGGTTGGGTTCTAGAGGACAAATAACACTTTTAATACTGATCCAAGAGTTACAAGTAACTTTTTTCAGTTGTGGTGTACCAGAAGCCTGAAACACTTACACTATGTGAATGACCATTGGGTCATTGCCCAAAAACTATGGATTCAAACCCAGACTAATGATTTTATTTATAATTACAGGATTTGCTCCAGATGCAGTATGAAGGTGTGGCTGTAATGAAAATGTTTGATAAAGCGAAAGTGAATGTGAACTTGCTCATATTCTTGTTGAATAAGAAATTCTATGGAAAATGAGCATGTCAGACATGGACTCTACATCCATCAGTGGGAAGTCTAATCAGTATTTTTTGCTCTTAAATGTTTCAAGTTTCATTGGACGCTTTTTAACTTTAAAGAAACAAAACACCAAATGTTCAGAGGAATGTACGCAGTGCCTTTTCATCACTGATAATGAAGCAGAAAAATAGAAAATAGATTAATTTAAACACTTCCAGATTCACTGGTGTTGGTACTTTCAAATCAAAATATTGTTTAGGACACTCAGCTATTGTGGTTGTGTGGATTTTTTTAAGGTAGGCAGAAAATGAATTTAGTTGAATATATAAACCTCTTCCTATTAAAGCATTTTTAAATGACCTCAGATATATAATATAGTTCTTATTAGACTTTAAGTATTTACCAAAAGAAATCCTAACTTGTTTCTAGGGGATAGCTTGAGCAAATATTTAGCTACATACTAAGCCTATTTTCTGGCAGTTGTCAATTGAAAAGCGAATTTATTGTGCAATTCAAAAAATTTATAGGTAATTATAAACTTACAATAACATTTTACTGTACAAAAATATATTTTGTGATTCATTCCTACTAAATAGAATGCACTACTGCCTCATATTAAATGACATTTTCTACTTTTACAGCCTTTTGAGTGGCATGGGGACAACCTGAATAGAGAACAGATGTCGTTCAGTTTGAAGTATTTGAATACAAAAATTGTGCCTGTCTGTCTCTTTTGTAAGAAAATAAATGCAATAAAATCAGTATTTAGATTGTTTTTTAAATATATTCTTTGGAGATTGTTCTATGTAAAATAAATGTTCCTTAATTAAACTGGCTTTGCTCCCTCTTGGTTTTGTGTATAATGGGTAATGTAATATATAAGCCAAGGAAATTTTTTCTACTCTTGCTTTCTTTGTGACAAATGTTTTAAAGATGAATAGACAATGAGGAATTCTGGATAGTGTGGTGTAAGCATCCAGTATTATTTCTGAAGATAAAATAAAACTCTGTAAAATTACTGGTAGATACTAGCTTAGTTCATTATACAAGTGTGGAAAAAATAATACATTTACCATAGATATTTATGGGCATTAATATCCCTATTTAAAAGATAAATAGCTCCAAGATTCTTAGCTTTTTCTTCCAGCTAACTTTTACACATTGTTTAAGTATAAGCCATTTTAATATTACATAAATGCTATAGTATTAATATCCAGATTCACTTAAAACAACTGCTTGGGAAGCTGAAAGCAGTATTTGATTACTTTTGCTTCTAGTAGACAAAAGTGAATTGCACTTGAATACAAAATTAAATTCACAGTTCGGTGTTACTTTTTACTTTCCTTTTTATCTGTAACAGACTTGAGGCTAATTCCTGTGTATTTCTGACAAATTTTGTCTGAGCAGGTACCTTTGCACTAGTCATATGACAATTAAGACCAAAGGCTTAAGGTAATGAATCAAAGGTCTGGACTCCTGTTGGTGTGATGTTTGTAGCCCTTTCCAGCCTCTGTGCGTAAGTCACTCTGGGATATGCAGCTTTGTTTGGTGTCTTCAAACACTCAGTGAAATGCTGTGGTTCTAAAGTGAACAGTATCCTCAGTGATTTCCCAGCCACATCTGATGTGCGGAAGCTTATTTGGTTCCCAGGGAATGATATCCAAGGCAGATGCAGTCTGTGCTAGGCCTTATCTTTTTCCACTTTTTTTTTTGAGATTCTTGTTCGTCTAGCACACATCAAAGGTTAATATCTATTTTTTCTTCAATCTTCTACAGAAGCATTTTTCTAAGGTAACTAGTTCAGTCTGTAGTCTTTATCACTGAAATGATCAATCCCGCAAAGCAAGACTGACTGCAGTGATTCCCACTTAACTAGACGATTGACAGGTAGTACCATGTCCAAAGAAAATGGACAAAGTAATTCTGTCCCCACCCAGTGCTGTCATACTCTGCTTGTACCTACTAAATCCAACAAGGATGACTTTGGAGGTTTCTGCAACTGCTGCTTGAGGTTTGCAACTGATAGGTGGATATGACTTGTCAATACTGATTTTCCTCTGGGTGCATCTGATCTTGTGGAAAAACTTGCTTTGCTGGTGACAAAAATTGAGGAAAGGTCAGTAATGATGGCTATTGCTTGCTCATCAGTGGCTGTATTAAAAATTGCATCATTATATATTATATACCTATAAAAAATCAACTTCCAACAAGAAATAAGCCTCTGAAGAATCTGGAAAGTATCACAATGATGACATCCACTTGAAAGACTTGCTTGTTTACTAAACATGCTTTCTCAGGCAGTTGTAGTGTAAAGAAACAGGAACGATACAGTAATGTTACTGGATAGTTGTAGGGGTTTTTGGGGGGGGGGTAGACTTTACAGTATCGAAAGTGTGTACTATAACACGCTGCTGCCAGAAACTACCAAAAGAGATGCAAGGAGATGTAGAGCTAAGTGGTGATCAGTGAAAGTTTAAGGCAATGAAAATCTACTTTTATAGAACTAGTTTATCCACGAAGAACAAATTTTAAGCTTTTTCAGGGTGCAGTTTTATAGGTACACTTTCTTAAAATAAGTATATTTTAGTTTGCTTACCCTATATTGTTCAGAATATTTTAGTAGTATTGCAAATGCACAGAACGGAAGCACCAAGTCGTCTGCTTTCTGTGCAGGAAGTTCCTTAATGATTATTGTTTTCCAGCTTGTCTAATGCACCCTGTTCCAGAACCTGATCTTTCTTGCAGAAGCCAATATCTTCACCCCAGAAAACTTGCCATATTGCAGGCACCTTCAAGATGCTACAGCCAGAAGGCATTGTAAAAAATGTAGGTATTCACAGATGCTTTTTGAATGTACTTCCAGTGGTGCAGCATTGGATCCACCTAGATCTGCTAGTATCACTCTAGCTTATTTGTTTTCTTCCTGTATTCCAGAATACTAACAAAAATCTTAATCGAGTATCAGATTTTTCATTCAGCCTATAGAGCGCCTTATAAATCACCTAAAAGAATGTTTAAAGTTATCTCAGACTGAGTTCCAGGGCAGATGAATTTCCAGTTACTACACTTATGACACAACAAGAGACAATAAGCAATTGCAATAGGCTCTATCAATTTTTTTTTAAAAAAAAGGAAATGGTTGCTGTGTGTTTACATTTTAATCTCCACGTATTTCAAGCAATTGTATAAAATTCTGCTGCTGTGACTGCACTGGCTGCTGCATGACCTGTCTGTATGTTGTACAACTGAATAGCTCAACCCAAGGGGCTGCTCTTCATCTCCTGCTCCCTAGAGTGTAGGGATAATAATGCTGTCATTTGCTTTCCAGCAGTAGTTTTAACAGGAACAAAACTTGTAGAAAGAGTTACATTGGGATAAATGAACAAAATTCTTTCCTTGGGACAGTAGTCATACCTGATGCCCTGGTATCTACTAAGAAAATCATTCTTCTAGAATTGAAATACTGACTCATTTTCAAGTTTAAGTACCTCCCAGTAATCTTGAGAAAACGAGGTTTAATATTTCTTTACTGAAGTGCATGAAACACTTCAAGTCTTTGCAGCTTTGAGGGATCTGGTCCCACCATTGAGCTTGAAATTGTCTCCCAGCTGTTGATGTCTCCTGTTGCATTTCTCAGTGACGGCAGCATTTTGAGGGAGCTGTGACTATGTGAGAGTGGAAATGAGTCCTTGTGATATTTTTACTATACAAGGTATGTTGGGGTTACTTCCTCTTTTGTTTCAGTATATTTTTTTCCAAGACGAACCACATTTAGGTCACTAATACCACTCCGTTGTACATACTTACATAGGTTAAAAATAAATCTGAGTGCACAAAATGCATGCTATGGTGATGAAAGTGGAGCACCCCTGATGCAAGGCAATTCCTTGTGTGTTCAGAGAGCGCTTGAATTAAACAGTAAAGAGGATCCTCTTTTTCTGAAGTTCTGCAAGAGCAGATGAACACTTTAAAACTGCCCATAGTGTAATTGGATTTCCACCCCCCACACACAAGCACACTCTGTAATTCATTCTCCCTTCTCAGCTATTGCACCTGACAGGAAGAAGCTGCAGTGTGCAAGATTAATTCAGCTTTTACTGTAGATTTACTGAAGCACCAGGAGCTTCCAGTTAAGTGCACACTATACAGCAATGCTGGGCAGGAGAGGCTCTAATAATTATCTCTGGATATACGTGTGAAGGTGAGACAGTACTGGGAGTACTCAGTAAGAGCTTCACTTTCTCTTCTACATCCTTGAAAATCAGTAGTCTCATCATTTTCTGGGTCCTTCCTGCTTTGGGGGTGATACTGTCTTTAGTGAGAAACATTCAAGTGAGCTTGCTGTTCATCTCTGGAAAGGTTGGCTGGCACTGTGACTTTCATTTATTATTATTCCTTATTCTGTGCAAACTGGATTCTGTCCAGACAAGATTTACAGCATTTAGCAAGTACTAGGATTGTGGGAATAAGTGTACAGCAAGCAAAGACAAGAAGTGGTTTTTACTGTGAACCAGTATTTGCAGTCAAGAATATTTTTTTTCCGTGTCTCCTCTTCTCTGTTAGAAGGAAGGGCTCTCTTCCTTCATCAGCAACTTGGCCAGGACAGCACCCTCCTCTACTCTGAGGCACTTCCCCGTTTTGTCCAGGTGTGGTACCCCTTCCCCGAGACTCTTTCCACGTGGTGTGAGGCACCTAGCCTCTTTTTGAGGCTGCCCTGCCCCTTTAGAGCAGGAACTGTGCTCAAAGCAAGCTCTGTGTTGCTTGTTTCACAAAAAACAGCTCAGGGAGCCAGCTTCTCTCAAGCGCTGCCCCACCGAGGAACTGCTGCCCCATGATGTACGTGACCGCCTTCTCACCCCTCGCTTCGGCTCCCCGCTGCGCCAGGCCCACACGCGTGGGGACCCCACGGGGCCCCGGCTCCCTCGGGGCCCCCTTCTCTCCCCCGCGG